AGTATTCATTAAAAAAAAAAATGTATCTGTACACATTAATAATATAGCAGTCTATATGAAATAATAAATATTAGCATTAAATTTTATACAATTTAGTTATATTTAAAAGTTAATAAAAAAATTCTGTTTATATCTTTGCTACATTTCAAAATACTATTAATATTACATTCAAACCAACAAAACATATTTATAAAATATATTTATATTTTTCATTAGTAGATCTGTTTTTTGTTTTGGTAAGTTGACTTCTTATTTAACTATTTAATTAAACCTACTCATTTGTAGCAGCATACTAAATAACTAAATAAATAGTTATCATTATTAAAAATAAATATGGAAGAAAAATCCATTTTAAATTTACAAATAGAAAAAACACAAGGTCATCACATTTATTATTCTAACAGTATAGAATAATAAATGAACTTTTATGAACTTATAGAACTTTTTTTTGAGATTATCCTGCTTCAAAATGCAAAAGTTTTCTAAAGTGTCCTTATGGTGGCAGTACAGTTTAAAAATTAAATCATTAAGATAAACCTGAATAATATTCATTTACAATGTGTCATCCTTGTGAAGATATTGTGTTTTTACTTGTAAATTTTAAATACTTTTTAACTTATTACAATATTTTGCACTTCATTGTTCCAAGCAAATTAATTTCAGTTAAACAGGAATTTTTCTTAGGGTGTATATATACACCCTAAAAAAATTCCTGTTTATATATATATATATATATATATATACAGGAGGGTAGGGCGTAAATAATAAAGATCTCCCACATTTGGAGTGAACACCATATGGGCTGTAGTGATAGTAGAAAGGTGGGACAGGTTTATTCAGTAGGTATGTTCTACCATTTTCATTTGGCTGACTTTAGTGTCATTGGCCCATACATTTTCGAAGGTGATGAAGCAGTAACTGTTACTGGTATGTTGAAATGTTGAAGTTTGTGCCCTAAACTGGGCAACTTGGATACAGTACATGTAAGGGGATGAGACCACCAGCTCACACAGCATGATATTCACTTCAAGTGTTGAGGAAAATGTTTCTTAGGCATTTGATCTCTTTAAGGGGAGATATGGTGTGGCTGTCAAAGTCACCAGATTTAAGCCCTTGTGACTTTTTCCTTAGGGGATACCTAAAGGAAAAAGTTTTCCAACATTGTCCTCGAACTCTTGAGAATTTGAAGGAAAGAATCCAAGAGTTTAGGACACAGAAACTTCTCCAACATTTCAACATACTGGCCAGAAATAACAGTTACTGTTTCTTCACATTCTTCAAAAATGTATGGGGCCAATGACACCAAAGTTGGCAAAATGAAAATGGTAGCACCTAGCCTACTGAATGAAACCTGTCCCACCTCTCTACTACCACTACAGTCCATATGGTGCCCACTCCAAATGTGAGAGATCTTTATGCCTCACCTTGTATATATGGATTCTTGCATGCATGCAACTTGTGTGTATTTATATGTAAAAAATTTCTTACAGTCAAAGTAAAAACACTCTATAATTTTAATATATTAATATAAAGAGCATTCATAATTAAAGTTCTCATTTCAAAAAGATGTAATTCAGAAACTAATCAGAAAAATGATATCATATTCTACATAAAAGACTTCTGTAGTGTTGGAATTTCATCTGAAACAAACAAGAATATTAGTTATAAAAATGTTCACTAGGGCAGTAAATGTGCCGCTCACTTGCCAAATTGATTAACTCCACAAAACAAAAAGTGACAAAATAATATACACTATATTCTTTTTTAAAATATAAATTCAAATAAACATTATAGAATGTATTATTGTAGACAAGGAAAAAAACAACAACAAAGATTAAGATTATTAGATTATTTCATACTTCCAATCCTTCTATTCTAGTAGTCCAGGACACACACTAGTGGGTGTTCTAGCAGCATCGGTATCATTCCGTGATATAAATAATAAATTCCTATTACAAATAAAAATAATAATATTCTGAATTTCTCATGGTGTACCCTATTAAAATGCAAAAAAAACTGCATTAAATAGTAATATACTGAATTTATTGTTAATTTAAANAAAATACATGAATTTTTTTCTGAAGATAGTTTATAATGAAAGTACAGTAAGACCCTGCTTAATGCTGCCTTGATTAATACTGATTGGATATAATGCAGTCTGCTCGAAGCCTAAGAAAAGCTCAAAATTTACACTGATTCAAATTATCACAGCATTTCATTGATTCGTATATAATACGATTATTCCCAAACACAAACCAATCAGCAAAAGGTGGCAATTCATCATAGCACTGTACTTTCCTTAAATCTATGTTTGTTTTGTGCAATTTTTGAAAAAATATAACATCATGGATGCCATAGGAAATATCGATTTCACTTGGCAACAATTAACTGATAAATGCATGAATAGAGTGTGGAAGAAGGTATCCAAGAATTCTTAATGAGTAGAGCCTATCATTGACCAAATTGTCAACCTAATCCATACAGTAAGACTAGGAGATGTAGACAAGCAAGATATTGAGGAATTATTGCAGGTTTCTGGTGAAAACCTTATCAATGACAACCTTCAAGAACTGGCAGAACAAGGAAATCATGTAGAATTGGAAAACAGTGATTCTGAAAATGAAGAAACCAAAGAAATTGTTACAGATTTCTTTAGTAAAAGTTTGGTAATGATAACCGAAATCGTTGATCAAATTGTTGCAAATGATCCAGATTTTGAATGCAATCTCTTACTACTGACATTTGCTTAACAAAATAAAAAGAAAGTGACAAATGAAACACTACTTTATCGCAAAAAACAAGAATTTCAGAAGAGCAAGGATCTTCATCACAAAAAAATGTACTTTACATTTCTGTGTGCATATGTTTGTGTTATTAACATATATTATTATGCAAATTAATACAGTAGAGCATCGTTTATCCGAAGGTCGGTTATCCGAAGGAATTCCAGTCAACAAATTTAAATTTNTCATTTCAAAATGATGTAATTCAGAAACTAATCAGAAAAATGATATCATATTCTACATAAAAGACTTCTGTAGTGTTGGAATTTCATCTGAAACAAACAAGAATATTAGTTATAAAAATGTTCACTAGGGCAGTAAATGTGCCGCTCACTTGCCAAATTGATTAACTCCACAAAACAAAAAGTGACAAAATAATATACACTATATTCTTTTTTAAAATATAAATTCAAATAAACATTATAGAATGTATTATTGTAGACAAGGAAAAAAACAACAACAAAGATTAAGATTATTAGATTATTTCATACTTCCAATCCTTCTATTCTAGTAGTCCAGGACACACACTAGTGGGTGTTCTAGCAGCATCGGTATCATTCCGTGATATAAATAATAAATTCCTATTACAAATAAAAATAATAATATTCTGAATTTCTCATGGTGTACCCTATTAAAATGCAAAAAAAACTGCATTAAATAGTAATATACTGAATTTATTGTTAATTTAAATAATAGCTAGGGGCACCCCTAGTGACCATTTTTGGCATACAGTGACAGAAAGAAAGAATTTGGTTTTTCAGCTTTATATAGTAAGATGTAGTTTTTATTTAATGATATATAAAATGTATAAGATAGCATAGATAATAATAACAACAATTATAGCAATAATTGATTATTATTATTATGATTTTGTTGTGATTGGTAAAGTTAATTGATTTGGCAATTGAAAAACATAGTAACATTCAGTTCGGTCGGATTCAGTCAGTCTTCACATAGTTTTTTATTATAGAGAAATGTCATTATCATATGTTTTTTATTAAAGATTTTTTGCAAAAGTGAATAATATCTGTTCTGTTACTGTTACAATGGTTATTATTATTATTTTGTTTAAATTGATTATTCAGAAATATAAATGATGTCTTTGTCAGCTGCATTTGAGGTCTCATCATGTCAATCTGTTCTTAAATTTTTATAAAAATCATGTTTAATAGGAGGAATGAAAAATTATTTTTAGTTTCATCCATCTTAATTTAACAGTATAAGTTTTTTTTCTAAAAACAATTGCCACCAAAATTAAAACAATTGTTCAATATTCCACAAGTATACTTCTGTGGCAGTTGGACTCTAATTTCTTTTACTTACTTTTTGTGATGAGATAACATTAAATAATTTACTGTTATCCACAAGGTGCATACCATCAGCGCACACTGTGATTGAAATGCGGCAGTGTGTGCTGGTGATACATTACAGCATAGAATTAATCAGATTGGCTTCTGAAATAAATAAAATTTTTTCCAATGGCCAATAAAATTTTGTCATTAAGTAGTATTAATTCTTACTATTAAGAAAACTTCTTATGAATATAAAATGTTACAATTATATCAAATGCTTGACACTAAAATTTAACAAAATTCGAAATGTGGAGTTAATTGATTTGACATGTGAATGGCTCAAATGACACTGCAATACCACAGATGATAACTCAAAATGTCTTAATAGTTACACTATGTATGGTACACTGTGTGGTTATGCAACAGCATGCTTGAAATGCAGGCCTCATTTTCAACACCTTGATGAAATCACTGTCACGTGAAACTTGTGTAAACAATTACATTTTCATGTTTTGAAGGCCAGCATATCAAGCATGCCATTGCGTAACCACACAGTGTGCCATATGTATTGTAACTTTAAAGTTATTCACTACTGCAGCATCATTTACCTCTTTAGTGGATGTATTTATAATTAGCATTCTTTTTTATTTCAAATAAAATTCTATCACTCCAGATTCTAGCCATCATATTCTATATGGAGATATAGAATATGATGGAAACTAATCAGCAAAATGGCAAGTTATGGCATTTTGAAATGTGAACTTTAATTGTAAACATCCCATATATTAACTATATACAGTAGAATATTCTTGATTTGTCTCTATAGAATTAAGGAAGTTAATATGATACAATTAAAAACATGAATTATCTATATAAAACAAAATTTATTTAATTTTAATTAAATTAATTTATATATGCAATTTACCTTATTACAGTTTTCTTTAACTAATTGATCCAACTGATCATAATCTATACTCATCATAAATTCATCATCATCATCATATTCAAGTGCTTCTGATACATTTACAATCTTACTACTTTCAGGTTCATTTTCATCAGTTGTTAAATCTATAACAAAATTATCATTGCTATAATTAGTGGAAATATTAGATGAGCTAACAGTGTTGACTTGTCTTTCTGTCCTTTGAGTAAGTGCTCTTCTGTTATTGCTATTTTGATTTTGTTCTGTTAACACATTACTTTCAGTTATGACAATTCCAGAATCATTACTTTGTATTTCAGAATTTTCTCCTCTAGTTAATTCATTTACGTAACTAGTTTCATCTTGTCCCCTTAAAAAAATTATTATTATTATTATTATTATTATTATTAAATAACAACAATCATCAATATTAAAAGAAATTAAAATGAAATCAAATATCTAGATATTAATTAATATGGGTAGTCCTTGACTTTTGAGCAACTTAGTCTTTCATATACAATACTTTGATACATTGAATTTAGCTCATTAAAAGTAATTTAAACTTTCAAACATTTCCACATTTCCAGCTGTAAATAAAAAAATGAGCTATTTGTCTGGTGCTTTCTATTAGTTTTAGTTTCAGTAATAAAAAAAAATCATTTGTTATCAGAAAATTTATTTTTATTGTCTATTTTCTGTTTAATCTTCAGTTTCAACTTTTAAAATAATGTTTTATGCACTAAAAAAACAAACTTTTCTATTTTAATAAAGAAATTTTATAATTTTTTTTAGTTTTCTGAAAAAACCTTTTATAACTTAAAACTTTATTGCTTAAGCTTTTGGGTGTCTGACTTTTAATACACATTTTTAACATTAGGAACAGATTGCATGTGAAAGTTAAGGACTACCTGTAATTTATAAAATATATTCTAACATCAATATTAATATTCATAAAATAAATTGCACATAAGTATCTTCAATTATAGTGAAATTCTGTTAACCCAGCATCCAGTATACCAGCCAACCTAATAAGCCAGCACATTTAGCTTGTCATTAGGGTTATTGGTGCATTGTTCTTTATCATCATCATAGACAACTTCCAATGTAAACATCATGGAAACAGAAGAAGACAAAGATGAAATGATAATGTGCTAAGTAAAACCAGTTAGCTTATGCATAATTTTTCTTAAGACTTTTTCAAAGACATTAGTGCATGGGTTTAATATGAGAAGCAGAAATTTTTAGGAATCAAAAATTATCACAAAAACAGCTACAGTCCATTACTGTTCATGTATTCTGATAATTAAAATACATCCATATTTAAATGCAATTTGCAATAAAAGTATACAAAGCACAAAGAATAGTGTTCTTGTTCAAGCCAGCTAATGGTAGGAATAACCTGGAAAAATTGAAATGGCTTGTTAAACAATCATAAAAGGCAGATTTGTAGAGTTTTACATGTGAAGACATATAAAATTGTGTCCAGAGAATCAAGTAAACCAGAAAAATTTTCACCATCTGATAAAGCAGTATATTCAATAAACTGGTACCATGTTAGTCCTGATGATGCCATGTTAACAGAATTTCACTGTACTCTCAAACTGGTTATGAACAGAAAGTTAAAAATATATATATTCATCAGCAATTAATTTATTATAAAAACAAATGCTTTTGATCATTTAAATTATCATTTTCAGGTTTATACATTGTTTCATTTACAGAATGTATAAAGTAGCGATCAGATTTTACAATTAATTGCTGGTGAATGTAGGTTTATTTTAAAATTTGCTTGTAAATATTTCCAAACAAGGAACATCTTTCTTGCTTGTATATATATTTTCAGATTATAAAAATTCCAATTTCAGCACAAAAAAACAAAAATCAAAACATTGTACAGAATTTCACAAAACAAAAAACATTTCATCTTTATTTATTTATGAACAGAATTTGCACCACCAGAAGATACTTTATAAAGTTCTACTAAAGTTTTTAACTCTTAGTATACAGTGTAGTGCATACAAGTCTTAGCTAATTATTGTACAGGGTTATATATAATTAGTGAGAAAAACCATTAAATTGAGATTCACATCACCTATGCCAACTGCTTGCACATAATTCTCCATGGCAGTATATATTTTAAACTGTTCAATTTGATCTGGGGTTAAGAATTTATATTTGTTGTTACACGTCTTGTTGCACCACTATCTAAATACCACTTTTTTTATCTGTTTGTGAATTCCACATTGCATGTGATTGTAGTAAGGGCATTGCTAGTAACTTTTACGTCTATGCATTTTGTTTTCGATTTACAGTTTCCAAAGAGCAATAAGTTCCATAAAGAGAAAAACTACATTAGCAGAGTGTTATATATGTATAAATGTACTGTATACATAAAAAATTCAAAAAAGACTTCAAACAAGCACGTATACAGGGTGGGAAAGAAAGTCACTTAACACCCCTGCTATAGAATATAGAATGTACTCAAAGTTAATTTGCTCATATCAGGAGCACATTAGACCAAGGAGGAAACAGACTGATCTGTGTTACACCCATGGATGCCATCTTGATGGCAGCTGTATTGAATACAACTCTAAAACTATAAATAGGAAGGGGGTCATGTGACACATCATTTAGGTAAAAATTTCACAAGGAATTGATTGCTGAAAGATTTTAGTAACCTATCTTGAATGGTTACAGAGTTATGCACATTAATGTTATGTGCATAACTCTGTGAAATGTTAAATGTACATTCTTTCAGTGCATTCTATTGGGTTGTTTGGAAAGTAATTTCGTTTTTTTTACCACTAGACGGATTAGTCATATTTTTCCCACCATTTTCATTCTAAACCGTATTATCATTATATATTTTGACAGCTAACATTTTAAGGCTTATTTGTAAAAAATTTTGTTTGATTTTGTACAATTGTTTATTTTTTGTGTCCCATCAAATATGGAAGATTGAAAGCAGCATTTTCGGCATATTTTGCTCTTTTATTACTGAAAAGGTAAGAATGCTGTTCAAGTGAGAAAAAAATTGTGTGACATGTATGGAGAAGATGTATTGACAGAACATTGAAATTGCTGCTTGCATTACAGTATTTTGGTTTTATGATTGGTGTAACCAATGATAACAGATTTAATTATGTTTTTTCGTCCATTCTCAAATAGTTGTACAATCTTTAGGTACTAACTTAAATTCTGAGATCAGGTTCACAAGGGAACCTGATCTCAGAATTTCCTTTTTTTTTTTTTAGCCACTGTTTATACCATTTACACGTTTCTCCTGCAAGTTTTAATACAATTTATTGCCAATAAACATCCAAGAACAGCCAGTACGTCATCATCAGATGCCATGGCCAACTAAGAGATTTTCTTCCTTGTATGTGGACAATAGGAAATTCTGAATTTCCTCAAAGCCAGGCCTGTGCAGTTATATCTCAAAGAATTTCCTTAATGTATGTGGGCCCCTTAACATTTAGAAGATGAGCAAATTGTTTTGGATCAAGTGGAATTTGGATTAGCAATAATGCATTGTACTTCTTATTCTAACATAATTTTATTTATATTAAATAACATAGTTTGGAATTTTTGTTTTAAATGAAATGCATAAATTATGGTACATTAACATTTTAACAGTTAAAAAAAATAATGAATAAAAGTTTATTTTTTTTTTATCTTAATTATAATTCAAACTTAAGTCAAAAGAAAGAGACCCATGCAACAAAGATCAGAAAATGATCAAAAGTGTGATAAAACAAGTATTATTAAATAACTTTCCAAGATATAAATAACTTTAATTCTCACTCAGGTACTTTCCCTTAAACTGACTTAACCAAAAGTACTTAAGTGAGAATTAAACTTATTTGTATCTTGAAAAGTTACTTAATAACATCCATTTTATCACCATGCCATTGTTTTCTAAAAATAAACTTAAGTAATAAATAACAATAAGTAAATTTTTTGTATCAATTTTGATTATATCAATATTTCAAAAAATCAAAAAACCATGTAAGAAATTACAGTAGAATCCATTTACTTTCATCACTTTGATACTCAGTCTGCATTGATAACAGTAATCTATTGATGATATTAAGTCTCCCCACTAGCCTTACTGATGGCTAATGACAACAATAATCGTAATTACAATTAATGGATTTGATTGTATTTATTTCATTTGAAAATTTTTTAACATAAACAGCTAAAATATATTCATAAATTAAAAGATTAATTACTTGAAATGATTTATTACTATTTTCACATGAGTCATTTTACAATGTTTCAAAACTATCATCATCTGAATATTTATTGGAAAACGATTATTTAGGTTAAAAATAAAAAGTCACTACAGATAAGTTTTAGTGATTTAGTCTCTAATAGGAGTAAAAATTAAATTATAAAATTTATAATATTTTCTTTCATTTTGCATATATTTCACTTATTATTAGTTTTAAATATTATGCTCTATTCTTATTCTGTATTATTATAATTTAATAATAAATAAGTAGTAATCAAAATAGTAATTATTAATTAGTTTAATTTTTCTACTAACAATGCGCCACATAATATTTTTCTTTGGTTATTCTCTTCAATTAACGATTCAACTGCACCTCCAAGAATCTTTATTTTTTCAGCCGATAATATTAAAACACCTAATCTACATTCAATTGGACCAAAGACTGAAATCTGTAAAAATTATATTAAAAAAAAATGCAATAAATAAAAAGATTTTTATCTTCACTTTTAAAAGATACACACAAATTTCTAACATCTAAATTAAATCTTTTATCATCTAAATAATATTTTATAAATATAAGTAGAAGTGAAAATTATCTAAGAACAATTTACTGTTTAAACAAAATGTTGATTTATATGTGGAATGTCACAAATAATTTCAATAAGATACAAATTCATAAATAATGTATGTCCATATAGTAAATCAATGTAAAAATCCAATTACAATTATCTGGAATCATTTTAAAATAATTTTTTGGAACTCTTAACAGCTACTAAATTTTCTATTTCTAAGTTAAAATTTAATGCACTTTTCACTTACAACATTATGAAGTCTTACTCACAGTTTCAATAAAATCTTATCATTGCTACTCACAAGTTCTATTCTTGTTTAATCTGATGTGTACATTTACAGAGAATCTCTATTAAACTATGCAGTAAAAATAGTTAAAGTTGATATTTCTAATCATGCATATTTAAAAAATTGAGGAAATAGTTATTTTTCTGTAAGGAAACATTTTCCATGCAAACATATATGTTTTCAATATTTTCATGTATTTATACAATATTAAATACCTATTTCACAACTTTAATTGCTCTAAAATAGATATTCAATTGGAAAAGAAAGCTTGAAAGCATTAAAGGAGTCAAAATGTTTAATTTGATTAAGCTCTTTTCTTAATATATTTATTCTGATATACACTCATGAAGTCATCTGTCTCTGTTTCATGTGTTTGAGATATTCAATATTATAGTTGACCTCAAAAGATGAAAATGCTGACAATATTTATTACTGCATGGAAAAATTTTTCCCCTTATGGAATGTTTTATGATTTAACTGTGGAACATTACAGACATATGCAAAGAAATCTTTTGGATTATAACTCTCTGTGATATATAACTTAATAAACACAATATATTTGATATTTTCAAAATAAACATAAATACAGTAGTTAAAATAAATTAATTAAACAAACTATGTAATACTGGATTATGTGCTAACAGTAATAAACTTACAAATATGAAAAAATTGTAAATTGCCCTTTGTCACATCCTTAATTATAAGAATTTAAATAACTTTAAACAACAAATTTACATTTTTATAAAAATGTTCTGAAACTGACAAGAAAAGTTCATAGCAAATCTTTTCTTATAAGCTACCATTAGAGCTTTTAAGAAAAGATAAGCTTACAAGAAGATTACTAAAGGGAGGATTAAAATTTCCTTTAGTTATCTTCTGTCAGAATTTCTATCATAATCACATTTACACAACAGTAAAAAAAACAGAAAGTTGGTCTTTGTCATAACTTAATGAAGGCAAACTTTCTCAAAAAGAAACTTCTTTTAAAGCTAACAGAGAATAAATTATAAAATTAATGTTCAAATTATTTTAATTAATTAAAATGAAAATAAAACCTTTGTTCCTGAAGGTAATTTGGTATGAAGAAATGGTATAGGTTTATATTCCATGCCTTTTAATATTTGTACACCGTCTGTTAATGTTAGCATAAGCATACGAGTTGGTTTAATTTCCCACTGAAAAATAAAAAAAACTAACTATATATAATATATACATATATTTATTCTTAATCTTTCTATCGCAATATATTGTAAGAATAATATAAATACATTGCATGTTTTATTGTATGAAATATAAAATTATCATAAAAAATTATGACTGAGAGAATATCAAATATTTTAAATACATAAAACTTACTTTTAGCAATAGAATATTTACTTAGTACATTTCGTTATTGTATTGTTTATACAAAAGCCAGCATAGCTGATCAAGGTTGATCTCTGAGTACTTAAGACTATACGAATTCAAAACTTGATTAAGTTAAATTTTTAAAAATATACATTTTTAATTTTAAATAATTTTTTATAACTAAGCTAATAAATTGTTCTGAATGCATTTAAATTTATTATTAATTAATTATTAACAAATTAAAATTATAAAAGAAAAAAAATGGTTTGTTTCAAATTTTATTTAATTCAAAAGCATTACATTCATGTAATTTTCTCAAATAAAAATACATGAATTTTTTTCTGAAGATAGTTTATAATGAAAGTACAGTAAGACCCTGCTTAATGCTGCCTTGATTAATACTGATTGGATATAATGCAGTCTGCTCGAAGCCTAAGAAAAGCTCAAAATTTATACTGATTCAAATTATCACAGCATTTCATTGATTCGTATATAATACGATTATTCCCAAACACAAACCAATCAGCAAAAGGTGGCAATTCATCATAGCACTGTACTTTCCTTAAATCTATGTTTGTTTTGTGCAATTTTTGAAAAAATATAACATCATGGATGCCATAGGAAATATCGATTTCACTTGGCAACAATTAACTGATAAATGCATGAATAGAGTGTGGAAGAAGGTATCCAAGAATTCTTAATGAGTAGAGCCTATCATTGACCAAATTGTCAACCTAATCCATACAGTAAGACTAGGAGATGTAGACAAGCAAGATATTGAGGAATTATTGCAGGTTTCTGGTGAGAACCTTATCAATGACAACCTTCAAGAACTGGCAGAACAAGGAAATCATGTAGAATTGGAAAACAGTGATTCTGAAAATGAAGAAACCAAAGAAATTGTTACAGATTTCTTTAGTAAGTTTGGTAATGATAACCGAAATCATTGATCAAATTGTTGCAAATGATCCAGATTTTGAATGCAATCTCTTACTACTGACATTTTGTTTAACAAAATAAAAAGAAAGTGACAAATGAAACACTACTTTATCGCAAAAAACAAGAATTTCAGAAGAGCAAGGATCTTCATCACAAAAAAATGTACTTTACATTTCTGTGTGCATATGTTTGTGTTATTAACATATATTATTATGCAAATTAATACAGTAGAGCATCATTTATCCGAAGGTCGGTTATCCGAAGGAATTCCAGTCGACAAATTTAAATTTTCGCGAGTGCTGTGGCACTGTAATCTTTGGCTATGTCTTCAGCTACTCAAATATTTTACGTTTTTGATACTAAATTAACTTCTGAAGTATAATTTTTTATTGTTTTTATATTTTTCAATATATTTATTTGTTTGTACAAAATAAAAAAATAATTTTTAACGATACAATAGTCTTCGTTAGGCTTAACATCGACGAAAATTCAACGCGAAGCGACATGCAATGGAGAAAAATTTCAACACGGGATAGGTTAATATATTTTTTCGTACATAATCAGTTATCCGAACAACCCCAGTCCCCAATTGATTCGGATAAACGACGCTCTACTGTATAAAAATAATTTAAAATTAAAGTAAAATCTGTTTATTTTTGGTTGTATGTTCCCCTTTCCCTATTTACTCTGTGTTAAAATGACCTTGTTTAACACTGTTTCATTTAGTGCTTTGTTGTCTAGGAATGTATCCCCTGCGTTAAGCAGGATCTTACTGTATTTGAATCATTACAATTTGTTTAAAATATCTGGACTTCTTATACTATAAATTAAATTTTGTATATATTTGATAATATTCACATCTTAAACTATTTAATTGTTTGTTTAATTTATAAAATCAGTAAATAGTTTGATATAATTGTTATTAATGTATAAATAGACAGATTAATATTAAATACAATTTCAAAAATGACAATCTGTTCCATTTGCTGCTTGAGTCTCATATACAAAAAGTTCAGAACTGAAGTGGTTATGAAATCAAAACTGATTAGTCAAACTGTTTGTGTACTTGCTGTAGCTACTGCTGTTATCACTACTAAATATATTTAAAGAACTTCAATTGACATTTATATATATTCAATATTAAATATTACAGATTTTTCTCTAAAATTCACAATACTGCATAATTAATACAGCTGTGTTAAAATTTACAAATGACAATTGATATTGTCATATATATTTGGGACTTAGTTTGATCTCCTGGTATTTTGCAATGCTCTCCTCCCTGTTGCATTTTATAATTCTTCACATAAACAATCAATATTAGTTTTTAAAATTAATCTGTACTGTCAGTAAAAGAAGTAAACATCTGTAATAATTGTATAAACATTAAACAAAATAAAAAAAATACACAAAGTGATTACAATTTATAAGGTCTGATTTTGAGTGATTTTAAAATACAATCTTACAATGCAATAGAATAATAAGTGTTATGTGTAATAAGACTTACTTATTAAATCTAAAATTGTAAAAAAAATGTAAAAATTAAAATGAATTCATTTGATATGGTTTGCAAAGTTTAGAGAACTACTTATGAACTTAGTCTTTAAGTATTGTAGCGAGATGGTGACCAAAGTTTTCAATGTGAAAACATGTATATTGGATGTTCAGCGCCACTTTCCTGTAAGCCTAGAAATTTGACAATGGCATTTGGAAAGTCAGTGGAATCATGTTTGGCATTCCAAATGCCATTGTCAAACTTCTAGATTTACAGGAAAGCAGCACTGAATGTCTGACGTACACATTTTCATGTTGAAAACTTTGGCTGCAAACACTCTAGTATCAAAAAATAAAAACTGATGAATAGCACTTGTGTATTCTTTATATTTCTATCATACACACTCCAAACATTAAGTCAACAATTCACTGTAATAGTTTTAATATTCTTATTATCAACAGTGCATCTTTATTTAAATTGTAAAAGAAAAACTTAATACAATTTTTAAAAAACTAGATGAACTACATGTTTTTAAGTATGAAATATCCCAATGACATGCATTAATCTAGTGTTTCTCAAACTTCACCTTCTGGTAGATCTGTTTAATAAATTTTAATGTACTATTTACCTAATTTGCATAGTCTGCTGTCACTACATTTGCCTACACCCACAGGGATCTGTGGACCACATTATTGAAAAATCTGCTATCTGAATTATCTCAACCACCTGGACATGAAAATTTCTACTATTCAGCACTACATACTGTGCAAAAATTTTCATTGTTTTTGGATGATGCGTTCAACGATGTCAAGTAATGAAAGCAGTTAAGTATCACAGAATAGACAGATTTATGGGAAAAGGCAATGCAACACTTGAAAATCTTGCAAGGAGCATCCCTCCTTGCAAGGAAGATTTTCTATGGGAAACTGACTCTATTTAGGTGTTAGATTTGTGAAGAAAACCTGAAAAACTTTATGTAGCCAGCCCGTTGGTGAGATCAAACCTGCAACCAACTATCAGTGTTTTATTCACTAAGACATTGATGGGGCTAATCACATAAGAAAGCCAGTATTAATCACCATGGCTCAGATTCAACTTGTTATTTTACAATTTCAAGTAATTTCAAAAAATTATAATGTTTTAATGAAATTATTTAAATTGTATAGATATGTAATTTTTCCTATTAACTTTACATTATTTAAGTTAAATTATTTTAATTAAAAAAGTGTTTTAGAAGTTAGAAAAAAATGGCCATTTTGAGAAAATAATTTCAATAATATGAAAATTTTCTTTTAGTATTCATTACTTGAAGTTCATCCTTAACTGAAATTTTTGAGCCTTATAAAAATTCATTCTATGGTCATCGTCATAAATAAATTTTGATTTTTGGATGTTGAAAAGTCCATTAATTATGATCTGGGCTAAAAATAAAAATAATAATTTATGGCACCTTCATATCTCTCATAAAGTTCAAAATCATTTCTGGAATATAATTTGTCATGCTCTGTGATAACTGTTATTCTTAGAGATGATTTTATTTGTCTACAAGTGGAATCTTAATTTTCTGTTTTATAAAGGTGAAGTTACATTCTTCATAACCAAAAACCTCTTGTAATTCCATGTTGGGCAGGTTTCTATCTTATAGTAAGATTTAATATAGAAAAATCACTCCATTCTGAAGAATTTTTCCATTTAGGCAGATTTCCATTGTAGGCAATGTTACTGTATTTCTACATTGTAGGCAATGTTACTGTGTTCTTCTAACTATTATCACACAAAGCCATTTTGTTTTGTCATTTATTATGTGTTGTGTTTTGCAATTGTCACATATTTATTGTTTTTGTCTTACACATTTTCCGTTCCATGTGGTTCTCTAACAATCATAAATTGCTGATAATTTGTCAACGTTGAACTCCATATCATGATTATCTGATTGTGTATAATAATCTTAACAATCTTTTGTCATTGGTTTGTATGATCTTTCTAAAAAGATGTACATTTAGAGTTTGATACAGCATAGAACACTTAAATGTATTTAATGATTATATTGGAAAATAGTTACTGTATATTCTTTACTCAGAGTAACTTGATATTTTATTTAACTTACATGATACTGGTTATTTAATTATTGAATTTTTTCTTTCATATATTTGTTTTACATAAATAAATATTAACTTCATATATTCTTTACAATGACCATAAAATTTTTATTTGTAACTTTTAATTTAAAAAATTTTAATTATTTTGATACTCACAGTATTCAATGTTGGCATTGGTGTTGCTGAGACTGCTGTATTTTCATTTTCCTTACCATCAAGTTTAATTAACTGACTGTAGAAAGATTGACTAATATCTTGTATAGTTAAAATCTAAAATAAATTTGTTTGAAAATACAGTATATAAATATACATAAAGACAATCAACAGCATAAAATGATTTTATTAGCAAACTTAGAATTGGAAAAATTAATTTTCATCACAATTTTTACACAAAAAAATATACCATATTTCTGCACACGCATGCTCTTATATGTGAAAACGCGCTTATTTTCACATTTTTGAATTATTCTTGCTTCTTATAAGGGCATATCTTGCATCTAAGAGCATGTTTCATATGTGCCAACCTGTTTTGGCTTATAAGAGCACTGCACTGTAAATGTAGTAGAGTAACTATTTGATGACATCTCTGTGTTAACCAATATCAAAATAAGAAATACTTTCAGAGTTCCAATACTGTAAAAGTTTTTTAAGAATAGCAAGTTTTTTTTATATACTTTGTGGAATATAGTCATAATGCTGATTTTGTTCCATCTATAAGAGCATGTGTGAGGTTTGCCAATTGGGGAGAAAGTGTCATGACAGTCGAGCAGTCAGCACTGTCGTGTGGGAGTAAAAAAACTTATTGAGACAGGTCCTCCATTGCAAACAGTTTATTAAATATAAAAATTTTGCTTACAACTACTGTTTTACTTTGGCATAAGGCCTATCCACAGAGTGAATCAGTTCGTAAATAAAGTTCAATCATTTCGACAATCTTCTCTTTTTCCGGCGATGATGATGAGGAAAACGTAGGCTCCAGGGCACACAGCACAACTTGAAGGGGTGATTCTCGTAGCAGGTTACACTTGGCAAAACTTGCCGGGACAGGATGGTGAAAACTTCTTCCGGAACAACAACCAAATTTCCATTGTTGAACCACAGGAAAAATCCAGGAGTGGAGCACACCGAACTAAGAACCAAGAACCAAGAGTGCGTCACATCTGACTTTACTCGGTTTTTATAAGTTTTTTTTCGGTTCCAGATCAAACATTCCGATCGGTCGATGACGATCTGCCCCCACTCTCTAATTGGTCCCCCCTCCTTGTTACGAATTGTAATGGGATCGGAGCCCAGATCGCAAGGTGAGTCACCTCTGACTGACAATTTGATTCCTATCGAAGATGTTTGACCTAAGCTCTCAAATTCGTCTATTGTTTCATTCCGAGAAATTTGTTTTTTCTCAGAAATTTCTAAAGATATGTCTTTATATGAACATAAAATATACATTTTGCATCTGATGGCTTCTTTTTACAATATTATAAGAATAATTATAATTATTAATTTTTTTTTTTTGAAATTAAAAACATTTTCTGTGCATGAATTTCAACCCACTTCTGGAGCTTCACACATGCTCTTATATGTGCAGAAATACTGTATATTGTCTTAAAATAGCTAAGATGTTTAATATATTTTTGGATCTATTCTAATCATCACTATTGCAGTACAAAACAATTAAGTAAAATACCTTAAAGAAAAATATTTTGTTGAATCTTCTAATTGATACTAAATATTTTAATTTTTATATTTAGTGTCTTAATGTCCAAAAGGAAGTCAAAAAATTTCCATATGAAATATTTTGGTGATTACACAGGTCTGCAAGTAAAAAACTGCATAGGATTTTTATACATTTTCTTACAGATTTCAACTTGGTAAAAATGAAAAAAAATACCAAAAAAATTCCATCTCATCAATTTTTTTGTTACACTCACATTTTTGTTTGTATTTANTATTAAAAAAAAATGCAATAAATAAAAAGATTTTTATCTTCACTTTTAAAAGATACACACAAATTTCTAACATCTAAATTAAATCTTTTATCATCTAAATAATATTTTATAAATATAAGTAGAAGTGAAAATTATCTAAGAACAATTTACTGTTTAAACAAAATGTTGATTTATATGTGGAATGTCACAAATAATTTCAATAAGATACAAATTCATAAATAATGTATGTCCATATAGTAAATCAATGTAAAAATCCAATTACAATTATCTGGAATCATTTTAAAATAATTTTTTGGAACTCTTAACAGCTACTAAATTTTCTATTTCTAAGTTAAAATTTAATGCACTTTTCACTTACAACATTATGAAGTCTTACTCACAGTTTCAATAAAATCTTATCATTGCTACTCACAAGTTCTATTCTTGTTTAATCTGATGTGTACATTTACAGAGAATCTCTATTAAACTATGCAGTAAAAATAGTTAAAGTTGATATTTCTAATCATGCATATCTAAAAAATTGAGGAAATAGTTATTTTTCTGTAAGGAAACATTTTCCATGCAAACATATATGTTTTCAATATTTTCATGTATTTATACAATATTAAATACCTATTTCACAACTTTAATTGCTCTAAAATAGATATTCAATTGGAAAAGAAAGCTTGAAAGCATTAAAGGAGTCAAAATGTTTAATTTGATTAAGCTCTTTTCTTAATATATTTATTCTGATATACACTCATGAAGTCATCTGTCTCTGTTTCATGTGTTTGAGATATTCAATATTATAGTTGACCTCAAAAGATGAAAATGCTGACAATATTTATTACTGCATGGAAAAATTTTTCCCCTTATGAAATGTTTTATGATTTAACTGTGGAACATTACAGACATATGCAAAGAAATCTTTTGGATTATAACTCTCTGTGATATATAACTTAATAAACACAATATATTTGATATTTTCAAAATAAACATAAATACAGTAGTTAAAATAAATTAATTAAACAAACTATGTAATACTGGATTATGTGCTAACAGTAATAAACTTACAAATACGAAAAAATTGTAAATTGCCCTTTGTCACATCCTTAATTATAAGAATTTAAATAACTTTAAACAACAAATTTACATTTTTATAAAAATGTTCTGAAACTGACAAGAAAAGTTCATAGCAAATCTTTTCTTATAAGCTACCATTAGAGCTTTTAAGAAAAGATAAGCTTACAAGAAGATTACTAAAGGGAGGATTAAAATTTCCTTTAGTTATCTTCTGTCAGAATTTCTATCATAATCACATTTACACAACAGTAAAAAAAACAGAAAGTTAATCTTTGTCATAACTTAATGAAGGCAAACTTTCTCAAAAAGAAACTTCTTTTAAAGCTAACAGAGAATAAATTATAAAATTAATGTTCAAATTATTTTAATTAATTAAAATGAAAATAAAACCTTTGTTCCTGAAGGTAATTTGGTATGAAGAAATGGTATAGGTTTATATTCCATGCCTTTTAATATTTGTACACCGTCTGTTAATGTTAGCATAAGCATACGAGTTGGTTTAATTTCCCACTGAAAAATAAAAAAAACTAACTATATATAATATATACATATATTTATTCTTAATCTTTCTATCGCAATATATTGTAAGAATAATATAAATACATTGCATGTTTTATTGTATGAAATATAAAATTATCATAAAAAATTATGACTGAGAGAATATCAAATATTTTAAATACATAAAACTTACTTTTAGCAATAGAATATTTACTTAGTACATTTCGTTATTGTATTGTTTATACAAAAGCCAGCATAGCTGATCAAGGTTGATCTCTGAGTACTTAAGACTATACGAATTCAAAACTTGATTAAGTTAAATTTTTAAAAATATACATTTTTAATTTTAAATAATTTTTTATAACTAAGCTAATAAATTGTTCTGAATGCATTTAAATTTATTATTAATTAATTATTAACAAATTAAAATTATAAAAGAAAAAAAATGGTTTGTTTCAAATTTTATTTAATTCAAAAGCATTACATTCATGTAATTTTCTCAAATAAAAATACATGAATTTTTTTCTGAAGATAGTTTATAATGAAAGTACAGTAAGACCCTGCTTAATGCTGCCTTGATTAATACTGATTGGATATAATGCAGTCTGCTCGAAGCCTAAGAAAAGCTCAAAATTTATACTGATTCAAATTATCACAGCATTTCATTGATTCGTATATAATACGATTATTCCCAAACACAAACCAATCAGCAAAAGGTGGCAATTCATCATAGCACTGTACTTTCCTTAAATCTATGTTTGTTTTGTGCAATTTTTGAAAAAATATAACATCATGGATGCCATAGGAAATATCGATTTCACTTGGCAACAATTAACTGATAAATGCATGAATAGAGTGTGGAAGAAGGTATCCAAGAATTCTTAATGAGTAGAGCCTATCATTGACCAAATTGTCAACCTAATCCATACAGTAAGACTAGGAGATGTAGACAAGCAAGATATTGAGGAATTATTGCAGGTTTCTGGTGAGAACCTTATCAATGACAACCTTCAAGAACTGGCAGAACAAGGAAATCATGTAGAATTGGAAAACAGTGATTCTGAAAATGAAGAAACCAAAGAAATTGTTACAGATTTCTTTAGTAAGTTTGGTAATGATAACCGAAATCATTGATCAAATTGTTGCAAATGATCCAGATTTTGAATGCAATCTCTTACTACTGACATTTTGTTTAACAAAATAAAAAGAAAGTGACAAATGAAACACTACTTTATCGCAAAAAACAAGAATTTCAGAAGAGCAAGGATCTTCATCACAAAAAAATGTACTTTACATTTCTGTGTGCATATGTTTGTGTTATTAACATATATTATTATGCAAATTAATACAGTAGAGCATCATTTATCCGAAGGTCGGTTATCCGAAGGAATTCCAGTCGACAAATTTAAATTTTCGCGAGTGCTGTGGCACTGTAATCTTTGGCTATGTCTTCAGCTACTCAAATATTTTACGTTTTTGATACTAAATTAACTTCTGAAGTATAATTTTTTATTGTTTTTATATTTTTCAATATATTTATTTGTTTGTACAAAATAAAAAAATAATTTTTAACGATACAATAGTCTTCGTTAGGCTTAACATCGACGAAAATTCAACGCGAAGCGACATGCAATGGAGAAAAATTTCAACACGGGATAGGTTAATATATTTTTTCGTACATAATCAGTTATCCGAACAACCCCAGTCCCCAATTGATTCGGATAAACGACGCTCTACTGTATAAAAATAATTTAAAATTAAAGTAAAATCTGTTTATTTTTGGTTGTATGTTCCCCTTTCCCTATTTACTCTGTGTTAAAATGACCTTGTTTAACACTGTTTCATTTAGTGCTTTGTTGTCTAGGAATGTATCCCCTGCGTTAAGCAGGATCTTACTGTATTTGAATCATTACAATTTGTTTAAAATATCTGGACTTCTTATACTATAAATTAAATTTTGTATATATTTGATAATATTCACATCTTAAACTATTTAATTGTTTGTTTAATTTATAAAATCAGTAAATAGTTTGATATAATTGTTATTAATGTATAAATAGACAGATTAATATTAAATACAATTTCAAAAATGACAATCTGTTCCATTTGCTGCTTGAGTCTCATATACAAAAAGTTCAGAACTGAAGTGGTTATGAAATCAAAACTGATTAGTCAAACTGTTTGTGTACTTGCTGTAGCTACTGCTGTTATCACTACTAAATATATTTAAAGAACTTCAATTGACATTTATATATATTCAATATTAAATATTACAGATTTTTCTCTAAAATTCACAATACTGCATAATTAATACAGCTGTGTTAAAATTTACAAATGACAATTGATATTGTCATATATATTTGGGACTTAGTTTGATCTCCTGGTATTTTGCAATGCTCTCCTCCCTGTTGCATTTTATAATTCTTCACATAAACAATCAATATTAGTTTTTAAAATTAATCTGTACTGTCAGTAAAAGAAGTAAACATCTGTAATAATTGTATAAACATTAAACAAAATAAAAAAAATACACAAAGTGATTACAATTTATAAGGTCTGATTTTGAGTGATTTTAAAATACAATCTTACAATGCAATAGAATAATAAGTGTTATGTGTAATAAGACTTACTTATTAAATCTAAAATTGTAAAAAAAATGTAAAAATTAAAATGAATTCATTTGATATGGTTTGCAAAGTTTAGAGAACTACTTATGAACTTAGTCTTTAAGTATTGTAGCGAGATGGTGACCAAAGTTTTCAATGTGAAAACATGTATATTGGATGTTCAGCGCCACTTTCCTGTAAGCCTAGAAATTTGACAATGGCATTTGGAAAGTCAGTGGAATCATGTTTGGCATTCCAAATGCCATTGTCAAACTTCTAGATTTACAGGAAAGCAGCACTGAATGTCTGACGTACACATTTTCATGTTGAAAACTTTGGCTGCAAACACTCTAGTATCAAAAAATAAAAACTGATGAATAGCACTTGTGTATTCTTTATATTTCTATCATACACACTCCAAACATTAAGTCAACAATTCACTGTAATAGTTTTAATATTCTTATTATCAACAGTGCATCTTTATTTAAATTGTAAAAGAAAAACTTAATACAATTTTTAAAAAACTAGATGAACTACATGTTTTTAAGTATGAAATATCCCAATGACATGCATTAATCTAGTGTTTCTCAAACTTCACCTTCTGGTAGATCTGTTTAATAAATTTTAATGTACTATTTACCTAATTTGCATAGTCTGCTGTCACTACATTTGCCTACACCCACAGGGATCTGTGGACCACATTATTGAAAAATCTGCTATCTGAATTATCTCAACCACCTGGACATGAAAATTTCTACTATTCAGCACTACATACTGTGCAAAAATTTTCATTGTTTTTGGATGATGCGTTCAACGATGTCAAGTAATGAAAGCAGTTAAGTATCACAGAATAGACAGATTTATGGGAAAAGGCAATGCAACACTTGAAAATCTTGCAAGGAGCATCCCTCCTTGCAAGGAAGATTTTCTATGGGAAACTGACTCTATTTAGGTGTTAGATTTGTGAAGAAAACCTGAAAAACTTTATGTAGCCAGCCCGTTGGTGAGATCAAACCTGCAACCAACTATCAGTGTTTTATTCACTAAGACATTGATGGGGCTAATCACATAAGAAAGCCAGTATTAATCACCATGGCTCAGATTCAACTTGTTATTTTACAATTTCAAGTAATTTCAAAAAATTATAATGTTTTAATGAAATTATTTAAATTGTATAGATATGTAATTTTTCCTATTAACTTTACATTATTTAAGTTAAATTATTTTAATTAAAAAAGTGTTTTAGAAGTTAGAAAAAAATGGCCATTTTGAGAAAATAATTTCAATAATATGAAAATTTTCTTTTAGTATTCATTACTTGAAGTTCATCCTTAACTGAAATTTTTGAGCCTTATAAAAATTCATTCTATGGTCATCGTCATAAATAAATTTTGATTTTTGGATGTTGAAAAGTCCATTAATTATGATCTGGGCTAAAAATAAAAATAATAATTTATGGCACCTTCATATCTCTCATAAAGTTCAAAATCATTTCTGGAATATAATTTGTCATGCTCTGTGATAACTGTTATTCTTAGAGATGATTTTATTTGTCTACAAGTGGAATCTTAATTTTCTGTTTTATAAAGGTGAAGTTACATTCTTCATAACCAAAAACCTCTTGTAATTCCATGTTGGGCAGGTTTCTATCTTATAGTAAGATTTAATATAGAAAAATCACTCCATTCTGAAGAATTTTTCCATTTAGGCAGATTTCCATTGTAGGCAATGTTACTGTATTTCTACATTGTAGGCAATGTTACTGTGTTCTTCTAACTATTATCACACAAAGCCATTTTGTTTTGTCATTTATTATGTGTTGTGTTTTGCAATTGTCACATATTTATTGTTTTTGTCTTACACATTTTCCGTTCCATGTGGTTCTCTAACAATCATAAATTGCTGATAATTTGTCAACGTTGAACTCCATATCATGATTATCTGATTGTGTATAATAATCTTAACAATCTTTTGTCATTGGTTTGTATGATCTTTCTAAAAAGATGTACATTTAGAGTTTGATACAGCATAGAACACTTAAATGTATTTAATGATTATATTGGAAAATAGTTACTGTATATTCTTTACTCAGAGTAACTTGATATTTTATTTAACTTACATGATACTGGTTATTTAATTATTGAATTTTTTCTTTCATATATTTGTTTTACATAAATAAATATTAACTTCATATATTCTTTACAATGACCATAAAATTTTTATTTGTAACTTTTAATTTAAAAAATTTTAATTATTTTGATACTCACAGTATTCAATGTTGGCATTGGTGTTGCTGAGACTGCTGTATTTTCATTTTCCTTACCATCAAGTTTAATTAACTGACTGTAGAAAGATTGACTAATATCTTGTATAGTTAAAATCTAAAATAAATTTGTTTGAAAATACAGTATATAAATATACATAAAGACAATCAACAGCATAAAATGATTTTATTAGCAAACTTAGAATTGGAAAAATTAATTTTCATCACAATTTTTACACAAAAAAATATACCATATTTCTGCACACGCATGCTCTTATATGTGAAAACGCGCTTATTTTCACATTTTTGAATTATTCTTGCTTCTTATAAGGGCATATCTTGCATCTAAGAGCATGTTTCATATGTGCCAACCTGTTTTGGCTTATAAGAGCACTGCACTGTAAATGTAGTAGAGTAACTATTTGATGACATCTCTGTGTTAACCAATATCAAAATAAGAAATACTTTCAGAGTTCCAATACTGTAAAAGTTTTTTAAGAATAGCAAGTTTTTTTTATATACTTTGTGGAATATAGTCATAATGCTGATTTTGTTCCATCTATAAGAGCATGTGTGAGGTTTGCCAATTGGGGAGAAAGTGTCATGACAGTCGAGCAGTCAGCACTGTTGTGTGGGAGTAAAAAAACTTATTGAGACAGGTCCTCCATTGCAAACAGTTTATTAAATATAAAAATTTTGCTTACAACTACTGTTTTACTTTGGCATAAGGCCTATCCACAGAGTGAATCAGTTCGTAAATAAAGTTCAATCATTTCGACAATCTTCTCTTTTTCCGGCGATGATGATGAGGAAAACGTAGGCTCCAGGGCACACAGCACAACTTGAAGGGGTGATTCTCGTAGCAGGTTACACTTGGCAAAACTTGCCGGGACAGGATGGTGAAAACTTCTTCCGGAACAACAACCAAATTTCCATTGTTGAACCACAGGAAAAATCCAGGAGTGGAGCACACCGAACTAAGAACCAAGAACCAAGAGTGCGTCACATCCGACTTTACTCGGTTTTTATAAGTTTTTTTTCGGTTCCAGATCAAACATTCCGATCGGTCGATGACGATCTGCCCCCACTCTCTAATTGGTCCCCCCTCCTTGTTACGAATTGTAATGGGATCGGAGCCCAGATCGCAAGGTGAGTCACCTCTGACTGACAATTTGATTCCTATCGAAGATGTTTGACCTAAGCTCTCAAATTCGTCTATTGTTTCATTCCGAGAAATTTGTTTTTTCTCAGAAATTTCTAAAGATATGTCTTTATATGAACATAAAATATACATTTTGCATCTGATGGCTTCTTTTTACAATATTATAAGAATAATTATAATTATTAATTTTGTTTTTGAAATTAAAAACATTTTCTGTGCATGAATTTCAACCCACTTCTGGAGCTTCACACATGCTCTTATATGTGCAGAAATACTGTATATTGTCTTAAAATAGCTAAGATGTTTAATATATTTTTGGATCTATTCTAATCATCACTATTGCAGTACAAAACAATTAAGTAAAATACCTTAAAGAAAAATATTTTGTTGAATCTTCTAATTGATACTAAATATTTTAATTTTTATATTTAGTGTCTTAATGTCCAAACGGAAGTCAAAAAATTTCCATATGAAATATTTTGGTGATTACACAGGTCTGCAAGTAAAAAACTGCATAGGATTTTTATACATTTTCTTACAGATTTCAACTTGGTAAAAATGAAAAAAATACCAAAAAAATTCCATCTCATCAATTTTTTTGTTACACTCACATTTTTGTTTGTATTTAGCATAAAATTCCTAGTTAACTTAAAATTTACTATTCTTTTTTTTATTTAAAAAATGGCCTTAAAATGAATACTTCTCACATTAATTCTATCAATTATAGCTGGACTTTGTAATAAATAAATAAAAATGTTAATGGTTGAAGAGAGTAGTGGTAGGGGGAGGTGGGTTAAGTAGTTTTAGCGTTAGGAGGAAGATCGCATGATTGTATAGAAACAGGTTAAAAGTTGATAGTGAGTAATATTATTGGTGAGGTTGAGCATGTTTTGACATGTTATCTGGGATACTAGGAATAAATATAAACAAACTGCTGTTGGATTAGATCATGTTTCAACAAACTAAATAAGTTCAGTATCTTGCTGGCCATCTAATGCCACACTCTGTTTATATCCAGCATTCGAACACTACTGTGCTTGTATTTTTATTTCTGGAATATGGCTCGCAGAGGTTGTGTAATTTCTCCCGACAGCTTCTGTTATGTTTGTGGTGAATACACAGTGAAAAGTCAACAAAGAAACATATGTGAGTTTGTGAAGGAAGTTTAATTTGCGTATTTCAAATTGAAACTTAGAGATCCAGACAAAGCAGATTTTTGGAAACAATAGGAGAAAAGGAAAAAGAAGAATGGGACTCTCTCAAGAATGTAGTGCATAAGTTTTTGGAGAATACTAAGGACCCTGACTACAAAAGCATTGTACAACGCATGCTGGCAGCAGCATATGAAGCTCAAAAATGCAAGATGAGCTTAAAAGTTCATTTCTTACACTCCCATATTGACTATTTTCCCAAAAACTTGGGAGCCTACAATGAAGAACAGGGTGAAAGATTTCAACAGGATATCCATGATATTGAAAGACATTGCCAAGGAAAATGGGATGTCAATATGTTAGCTGACTACTGTTGGATGCTCAATCAAAAAACCAGAGAAGGAAATCGGAAACAAGTTTGGAGAAGCATCAAAAAGAAGAAGAAAAGGTTTCATAAGAAAAAAGACTAGACCTAAAATTGTGTATAAATATCAGAAACAATTTGTTGATTAGTTGTAAGAAAATATAATATATTTAGTTCATTGTAATAAATAAAAGTTTTTATCAAAAATTTATTTTTATTTTGCAAAAAACCTTTACGTGATGGGATGTAATGGAAGTTATTTTTAAAATCTGTGATCTTTAAAATATATAATTCAGCAAAAATATTCCATGCAGCTGGAAAAAAACTTTTTTTTTGCAGACCTGTGTTATAATCAAAAGATTCAGTTATAGTTTAAAAGATTCAATTATGATTTTAAATTACCTGAAAGACATAATTTCCTTGAAGAATGTTTTTTTGAATAGAATAAATATTTTGTGGTAAACATGAACAACCAATTTCTTGCAAATCTGCAATTAACCACTGTTTATAAACACTATCTTTTATTTGATCCAAAGTTAATTCTCCTTCCTACAAATTAGATTAAATTTAATTAATAAGATTAACTTTTTAACATTTAAATTTTATATAATATTTTAGCAATTAAAATTATGAAATTTAGTTATTAAATATATGTTTAAAAGATTTTTAATAATTCATATATATAAAATATATATTGTTATAAAAACTTTTAATTTAATAATGAATACAGTCGACCCCCCTATAACACTGTTGATTATTCAGTTTTATATGAATTCCATGTTGTACGAGTCACTTAGATTTTACAAATATGTGTACCAGGCTATGAACAGCTACATATTTGTAAAATCTAAGTGACTTGTACAACATGAAATTCATATAAAATGGAATTATCAACAGTGTTATAGGGGGTCGACTGTAATATAATTAATTCTTATTACCCATTAGAAAAATCCAAAAATTCAAAAAAATAACAACAATTAGAATTATTTTTTACATAAATTTCATTCTTCCTCTTTATTATTTCTTAAAAGAAACAACTCTATTTTAAAAAATTAATGTAAGAAACAATGCACTTAATGAACCTCAAGAGTGTTTGGTTGAATTAACTGTAATTTTAATAATTAATTCTAAAATTTTCTCAAAATCATTTCTCCATTTATGAAATTAACAAGAAATGAGATAGTTGCAGCATTTATTAACTTATAGTTAGCATACAACCTATTATTACAATATATATAATCCCTAGAAAATCTAATGTTTCTGTCTACAAAATTTAAAGAAAACTTTTTATAATCATCAAAATAAATAAAATATACCATTGCTTATTTAAGATAACTATGAATGGAACTAAGGTGGAGCAAGGTTGGGCTGTTGCCAATATTCCACCCACTAAAATAATTTATCTATACTGACTATTATTTAAGGTTTCATTAAATATGAACTGATTGTTTGCCAAGTAATTACATGTAAGTGGAAAAAGTGTAATTAGAACGTCTTACTGAAAATTGATCACTAAATTTTAAAAATTTGTTAGTTTGATGGTAAAATCTGTAGATAACACCCATCCCACCTCCACTCTTCCAAATGAAAATCCTAGTGCCATTACTAATTAGACAACCAAAATTTATCATCAAAGAAAGGTTTTCAGCGTTTCTGCTGCCATCACTGGTTTTGATCAATGTATGAAGAATAATATTTATAGATATCAATTCTATAAAAAAAAACATTCAGTTGATTTACATTTGTTACATACTTTTGTTTTTCCTTTTTTTCTTTAGACAGATTTCTTTAGCAAGATTTTCTCTCCCATCTTTGCAATGAAATATTTTGTTGCAGCACGTTGAAGACGTCGCCATTAAATATTGACATCAAACATTGGCACGTCTGCCAATGTTTACGTCAACATACCCAAATTTATTAATTGCATTACAAATAATGTTAACTACTACAAAAACCGTGACTTCAGCTGAACATAATTTCCTGCAGTTGAAACAAATAAAAAATTATCTTTGATCATTAATAAGCCAAGACCAATTTACATCTCTGGCTATTCTTTCAATAGAAAGCGAAGTAGAAAACTCATTCAGTTTTGATGACGTAATCAAAGATTGTGCGGCAAAAAAACCGAGAAAAATTATGTTATATTCATCTTACAAAAAATATATGTAACATCCTTTGTACTTATAATAAATAATTCCTTATTGTGAAATTTAAGTATAGGATTTGAATGTGTATTCTGGCCCCACAAAAGGTCAAGCCAGCCCTGGTCCCAAGCAATTGCCTTTTTTGTCCATAGAATAACATGCCACTGTATATATCACATCAGTTCCTTTGACTAATAACCACCCATGAAAAACCTTTTTAACGAGTGTTATGTCACTATTAAATTCCACAAGTACTTTCGACCTCCACCGAGGTCTGCTTCAGGTGGTGTCCCACGAAAAACCTTTGTAACGAGTGTTATGTCACTATTAAATTCCACAAGTACTTTCGACCTCCACCGAGGTCTGCTTCAGGTGGTGACTGGCCGTGTTTCGACCCGACCGTCATAACGATGTTGCCAACGGTGTAAATAAATAAACGTGCGCGTCGGGTTTCACCCCTCCGACCGCCGTTGCTCGAACTCCTCGAATAAATACTTCCACGCCTGTGCAAGTGTTTCCCCATCCCTGTAGTTGATGCAGTTGCATCAACTACAGGGCATCTAGACCCCCTATATAGAGAGATCGCCAGCATCAGCTGCACCAAAATCGCGTACTTAAGAACCGGCACGCTTTACGACTTGCTGTGCAACGCGAAGGACGCAATGGATCTCACCAAGGCCCCAGGTGTTTACTCCATTCCCGTACGGGACGACAGATTCAATAGAGACTTAGTTTACATTGGCTCCACCATCCGATCAACACAGAAACGAATACGGGAACACCAGGCTGATATTAAGCATAAAAGGCACACCACTGCCTTAGCGACCTATGTCACCGACCCTGAAATAAGGGCGGACTTCCGGAACACCAAACTTATCAGACCCGCGTTCCGCGCTGATCACATCCGTCACCTGGAGACCTGGGAGATTCACAAAGCTATCATGGGGGGCAACTGCATCAACTACAGGGATGGGGAAACACTTGCACAGGCGTGGAAGTATTTATTCGAGGAGTTCGAGCAACGGCGGTCGGAGGGGTGAAACCCGACGCGCACGTTTATTTATTTACACCGTTGGCAACATCGTTACGACGGTCGGGTCGAAACACGGCCAGTCACCACCTGAAGCAGACCTCGGTGGAGGTCGAAAGTACTTGTGGAATTTAATAGTGACATAACACTCGTTAAAAAGGTTTTTCGTGGGTGGTTATTAGAAAACACAGTGTTAAGTTGTTGGAAGTCGTTTATTCTTAGTTCCTTTGACTTTTGACTCCTAAGGATATGGTCTGTAATTGTAACAAGATCAGAACCACCTCATTTAGAGCTGCAATTTTACCCTGGAAAATACCTTTTTTAATAAATAATAATATAAAATTAAAGAAATGTTTTGTTTATTAGTTTCATATTAAGAAAATAATAATAAAAATTCATACTCCATTTAAAATCCATTCTACACAAGCTTGCAACCAATCATCCTCTATTAAAATAGACTTGTTTTTTAGCCAATTCTTAATTTCTAAAATATCTGTCATCCTCCGAACGAAATTTCCGCCTTTTTAAAAAATCAAAACAAAAAACGTAAAGTGCCATCTGGAGGACAAAAACTTTGTAAATCACATATTTGTAAAATCTAAGTGACTTGTACAACATGAAATTCATATAAAATGGAATTATCAACAGTGTTATAGGGAGTCGACTGTAATATAATTAATTCTTATTACCCATTAGAAAAATCCAAAAATTCAAAAAAATAACAACAATTAGAATTATTTTTTACATAAATTTCATTCTTCCTCTTTATTATTTCTTAAAAGAAACAACTCTATTTTAAAAAATTAATGTAAGAAACAATGCACTTAATGAACCTCAAGTGTGTTTGGTTGAATTAANCCGTAGTTTTTTTTTAAACTACTACATTTAGAATTGATCATCAATTTTGAATTTTGGCTCTTTGGTTTTAATTTCTTTTAAATTTCTTGTTTACTTTCTTTTATTAATTTTAAAAATATAAATCTTCAAAATGAATAACAGCGAAGAACATTTGGTCGATGATTCATTAGTACGTCTAACTGAAGAACAACCAAAGAATGAAAGCGAAACTAATTTAATTTTATCATCCGATCAAATGGTAGAAACAGAACCTTCGAAAGATTATTCATTTACTGCACAAAATTCAATAATAGAAGAAGCGAATACAGAAGCAATATCGAAAGAAATAGAATTTCAGGAAGAAGACAATGAGAATGCAATGATTAAGTATGAAGAAATTGATGTGGAAGCCTCCGGTGGTCAAGAACTAGTTGAATCAAAAGATGAATGTAACTTAGAAGAAGAACTAAATGAATTTTTATCTGAAGAAATTACTCAAAATATACAAGATGAAATTTATACGGAAGAAATTGCTCAAAATATACAAGATGAAATTTATACGGAAGAAATTGCTCAAGGTATACAAGATGAAACTTATACGGAAGAAATTGCTCAAAGTATACAAGATGAAATTTATACGGAAGAAAAACAGTTGGAAATATCAAAAAGTGTTATTNGGAAGAAATTGCTCAAAATATACAAGATGAAATTTATACGGAAGAAATTGCTCAAGGTATACAAGATGAAACTTATACGGAAGAAATTGCTCAAAGTATACAAGATGAAATTTATACGGAAGAAAAACAGTTGGAAATATCAAAAAGTGTTATTACCCCAGAAGAAAGTAAACAAGTTTCATTCGATCAGTCTGAAGAGGAAGAAATAATTGGAGCTGTGGATTTAACAAATGTGTCCATAGTTCAAAAAACTCAAGGGATTGTTCTTAGAAAAGATAGTGTGGTAATGTAATATGATTTTATTTCTTCAATTAAATTAATGATTTTTGAATTTCATTTGATTTCTTAACGGGAGATAACAACACAGTATGACATAATTTTTCGGGGGGATCCATTCTGATATTTGAGGTCCCGTCTCTCACTACCGGCCGTTCCATTTTGAGCTTGGCCAAACTTTAATGGGCATGTTTAAAAAAAAAACTCCTCTTAATGCTTGCAGGGAGGAAAAATAATTTAACAAAGCATGATATAATATGATATTGAAAATGAATTTTATTGTTGATTACTACAGATATGTTAACTAATACAGTATAAAATAATATAAATTCTTTACATTCTTTTAGGACTTTATGAACGAATCTTATTGGGTTCCTAAAGAAAGGGATAGAACAACTTTTAGTGAAAAATGCCAGAGAGGCGATTTTCCATTTCAATTGTCTCACAAACCTGAAGGTTTAACTCTTCAATGGATGGTAAGAAATTCTAAATCAATAAATATAACATTATCTTATTATTTTTTTTTTGTAAAATAAAAACTATTATTATTTCAGCTTCCAGCAAAAGATTTAGATTTTCGTTATTATCTTCCGGAATTTATTAAAGGTTTAATAGAACCTGATGATCGTTATAGCATTGTCGCCAATCTGTGTGTCCATGATTTAATAGATTCGGACAAAAATAAGGTTAAAATGGCTTTGCCATACTTTATGAATGACTTATATGGTATATATAAAATTATTTTTATTTTATATTTAATTTGTTTGTTGCTTATTATTAGAATTTTTTTAAAACGAAGATTTTAATTGTTAATTTAAAAAATGAAATTTAGGATTATTGTGAATTAAAATTTATAAAATGTTGATCAACTTTTCTGATAGAAGAACTAGTTTGTTTTTATTAAGAGCCATTAAACTTGGGATTTCCTTAACGGGTAGTCACAATCAATTGAATGAAATCTTTGTTTTTTAGATTTCTTTGTCTCTTAAAGACNTAAAATGACTGTTCGTGTATTAATCGATTAATTTGTAACACTATACTTTTTCTAATGAACACAAATCGATGTGAATTAAAATTTATAAAATGTTGATCAACTTTTCTGATAGAAGAACTAGTTTGTTTTTATTAAGAGCCATTAAACTTGGGATTTCCTTAACGGGTAGTCACAATCAATTGAATGAAATCTTTGTTTTTTAGATTTCTTTGTCTCTTAAAGACAATGTTCTCAATTCCTGCATAACATATCATGAAATGTTAATTTGACAATACCAGCAACATTTCACACGAAACTCTGTAAATTACTACGGACAATATTGCTTTTTGATTGCAGAATATTTATTGTTAACAAGAATGAACACAACATTGGCCATATTCTTTCCCTGTACATTTAGCAGCAATTTAAATTTTACTGAAATAATAATAACACTAATAAAAACACCTTCGAAGATGGTTTAAAACAATTGAAGTCGATTATTCTAATGTACTGTACAATGCGCCATTTTTCACTTTGCAGCAATTTGTGTAATTCTTTTCTTTATAAATCTCTTCTCTATCACCTCCTTTTAAAATATATTTAATATTTAAATAATTTTCATTACAGAAGAATCAAAATTTTATTAAATTAATTTCAATTTTAAAGCATATTCTTATTATATAATTAATTTTTTATAAATGTCTTCAATTCAGCTGCTCTATCCAGTCGATATCCTGCAGTTTGCATGAATGCGTGTAAAATTCTGCAAAAATTAGCAACAACTGTGGGAAAACATCTTGGTTATTACTTCGATCGTCTTTTTGGTGTACTCAATATGATGAGATTGAAAATAGGTTGCAGCAGTTTAATTTTCCATTTTTATTATAAATACAGTACATTCATTTGAAGTAATTTAAAATGTTTCTTCCTTTCTTCTAGAGTATACTGAAGGGCAGAAAACATTCATCAGAAAAAAAGATTTTTCTTTACATCCACTTTATGAAGAGATCCTTAAAACTTGGTGCATATTGCAAGAGATATTGATTCAAATTTCAGAAAAACAACTTAAAATAATGATGCGGTGCTGGGTCAGACCTTTGCCTTGGTTGACTTTTTAAATCATTCGGAAAATATCTTAAAAATATTTTAATAAATACTGTTTAAAATTTAATAAAGATGTAAAAGAAATAAATTAATTTATTTTATATTTGTATTCGTTGTTTCAAAGTCTGAAAACTGAGCTGCATTAGATTTATGTTTAATTCTAGAGTTTATTTATATTTATTTCTAAATAATAGTAATGATATCAGTTTTAGAAATTCCAATTTCTTCAAGATTGATTTTAGAAATTTGATTTTGATTTAGATTTTGATTTTAGAAATTCCAATTTCTTCAAGCTTTGCTTCTGAACGACTTAGTTCGTTTGAGTGATATGTATTTATTTACAGGACTAAACTGCTTCTCGCGCTTTATAAGCATTCAAAATATCAGCTTAAGTTTGTGCCAAAGTTTACCCATGATATTACTCAAAGACAAGATCTGATTAGGATTCCAAATAGCATACATTTACCAACCTGGACTTGATGTCCACATCAAATTTGGGCGAAGTCGGGCAAGCGGTTTCGGGGGAGTTTGTTTAAATCCAATGATATTTGTTAGAGAGTTAGAGAAGCATATATTTAAAATTAAATAAATTTTGTTTAAAAATTGCAGCCTGGCATTGTGACGATGCCATAATAAAGAACTGCTTGTTAATTATAGTTCTCTCTCTCTTTAAATAAGATAATCAATAACTTAAAAAGAGCAAAATAAAAACGTTATTAATTTCCAAAAAGTTTTCTGTAAACATCTGCAGAAGAGTAAGCCTATACAATATATTGTAAATATTTACATAAGTAAAAAAATTAGTCTATATTTGTATTCATATATAGCCTATTAAATACAGTTACAGATAAAATTTTATATAGATTTCTTACGTTACAGGTAGAAATGCAATACATTAAAAATTTTTGAATAATTAAGAAACTAAAAACATAATTTAATTATACTTTCAAAAGGTTTTGGAAAGTGTTCAAAACTGGAAATTTTTATATACAGTATAACTATAAAACCCATTTTTCTGGAAAAAAGTATGTTTTATACGATAAAAAATCATTTTTAAGAAATCAATACGCTTATTTGTATTCCAATAAGAAAATATATAATAAGTTACTGTATATATAGCCTATATACTGTATGTCTTACATATAAGTAAGGCTGGCTCGATAGATGAAACGATGAAGTGGTCGCCTTAAGCGGCAAAACAAGCGATTAAAACGTTCAAAGAGAGAAGAAAATAAATAAAAATTAAAGTTATGAAGCAAATACAGTAAATATACATTAAAGTTGTTTATAAATAGTTGTCTATTAGCCACCGTTCTGGAAGCAGGAACGGTAAAAATCGGCTTTGCTTCAGAAGCAAGTGACACTGCATATAAATTATTTTATAGTTTTCAAAATGTTATTTTTAACTTTTCAAAAAAGTATTTCATAAAATTAGTATATGAAAGAATAAAAAAATTTCTTTATTCATTTTATGAACCAAAGAGATGGGAAAAATTCTTTTTTGAAACGAAAAGAAAACTGGTCGACCATGACAAAAATTGGAAAAACTATTTTAAACCACTCCTTAAAATCGTTTTATGGATAAAAAAAATACGTAAGCTATATATA